ATTAAGGCACAAAGCAGAGAGTGTTTAGCAAATCATGAACTGTTTTTAATTTGCCTCATTAAGCTGCTGTTAACTACTTAAATCCATCTGCTTAAAAATAATTTATACATCTTAAGTTTGCTCTAGAGAGCAGGTAGACCTTCATGAGAGCAGGTTTTGTTATTAATGTTATCTTTAGGGGGCTTTCAGTTGTTGTGGAAAGTGCTTTATTGCTCACTGAACCAAACTTTCCCTGTAAACAAAAGAAAGTAGCACATGTTTGTAACTTGCAGTCTGCTGCCATAGCCATAGTCTTGGGAACCTCTGCCGTTCATTTAGGAACTGGCTTGCTGTGGAGGAAGTTATTTACAGCCATTAGGTAGATCTGGGTACGAGAAAGGAGAATGAGCTATGTGAATGCCTAGTATCCTTATTATCTATTACCATTCCCAAAAAATTACTCCTGGAGAGGAAGAGGAGCCAGACCTATCACAGTGCCTCAGCTGTAATTGTGGAGGGGGAACCCTGCTGCCTACACCCTGAAGAGCTAGCTGAGGAAAAACAAGTTTATTTGTCTCCCCAGATTTGTAAAGAAACAATTTCATTTACAGAGAACAAATCACCAGAGAGCCACAGACTCTCCCTCTGTCTCAAGCTGAGATTCATTGTCATTTCAGTTAGATAGTATGTGTGCTCCTTTCTGACCTGCTATGTATTTCTGTGGTTTGCCGTGAAATAATTGTCCTGCTTCTCATCAGAGGAAACTGAAAGCAGTGAGCTAATGGATTGGCGATACGAATAAGAGCATTTGGAGTGAACCTAGCTTTAGAAATATTAGATAATGATGGTGTGAGAATTTAAAAGAAGGTCCTCCACTCAGCCTGTGGGAAAGAGATGGATGTGATTTTGGGGATATTAGCTGAGACACAATGTTTGACTAAATATAGATCTTCTTTTGTCAGTAAATTAAAACCTCATTAAAATATTGCTATGAAATAGGTTGTTGGGGTGTTTTTCAATTGCGTGCAGTTTATTAAGAAAAATGCCAATATTTAACAGGATGTAAATATTTTGAAGCATCTGAGCAAAAATGTTGCTAGGAGCTGTAAATATCATTGTCTTTCTATTAAGATTTTATTTGGCTCTTTCTGGCAAGGAGGAAGCCTACAAACAGGCTGACTGCACAGGTTTGCACATAATGTGCTTTCAAGTGTGTGACAAATGAGAAGAAATACAGGACTTTTTGCAATTGCTTTTGGTTGCAACAGTTGAAGGTATTCTTTGCAACTGCAGCTACTATGTCTTAGTTTAAAATAAGACTTCTGAAGGAAGCCTTGACTGGAATCCTTTTATGTTGCCCAGTCATCTGGGCCTACGTTTGAAAAAATGGGGAATGAAGAAAATATCTTGATTTGTCTTGATTGGAAGGAATGAATATTCTAAAAACGTATACGTGTCATTGAACAGAATATGTGGCTTCTGCCATATTTGATATGCCCTCATACTTATGTTCTCTTTGCTATATTTGTCTTAATCTGGAAAGAATTTTACTTCAGGATTTCACTGTGATGAAACACTTCTTCACAGTAAAATCCTTTAAGTGACATAGAGCTAATTAAATCATTCTTGTAGATCAAGTATGTGAAAAATTAAATCAATTTTTAAATTTGCAAAATACTCATAAACATTTTAAATATAATACCTTCCTGCACAGCTGTCTACTGAAGAGTACCCAGTGCCAAGGCGCTATTGTAAACTCAGTTATTCAAATCACGAGTTGTTTCTTTTTAGTACTCTGGATTGACATGCAAGGTTAGGGCTGATTGAAAAACCTCAAAATATTTTACGTGCAAGACATTTTTATGAGCAAAACATTTTGAGTGGAGCTGAGTTAAATCTCTGAATCCATTTGAGCTGTAGCTCAAATATCATCAGAGAGTGATAACCACTGTGGACCGTCTGATGATTAGTTTGGGTAGGGAGCTTTGTTTATAGGAGAGAATGATATGTGATGACCCAAATCTACAGTTTTCACCATCTATATATTTGCTAAGGAATCTTGAAAAATGTTTCTTTAGCATTTCCGCTCTAGGTGTGGGAGCAAGTTGTCAAAGTACTGCAATCTGTCACAAAAAGTGTTTTGATTTTTCAGTCATTTCTAGTTATAGTCCTTACACAAAATGCAGCAAATTCTGCTTTAGCAACACCTCTGACACTAGCAGAAGACCTCAAGAAGATCCTGCCAGGGTGCAGCTAATGCAGCTGTAGAAGCTGGAAAATGTGTTGTGCTTAAACCTCAGCTCAGCTGCTGCAGTGGCCTCCTTTTCACTTCTACCCTCTTCCAGCTATTTTTTACAGATGGGGAGGGGTCAGGGAGATAAAAACAGCTATATCTAAATACCGTCAGCTCCCTTGAAATACTGCTTCCCTTCTGTGTGAAAGGTTTCTGTCCGTGATGTCTTATCATGTGTGACCACCAAAAATATTCCATCCGTCCCTTTCCTGCTGCTGAAGAGAAGGAACAGAATCCGTTTGCCCTTTCTGACAGGTCTGCCCCTGGTCTAGCTGTGAAAGGCATCAGCTGGGGAGCAGAGGAGCCCACTGCTTAATGAGAGAGGAGCCTTGAAAACTCCTTGCAATTGAGATTTAGAGTGAGGTATGCGAAACGAGAATAAAGAAAAGACTGCTGCTGGGAGCTGCGAGGCCCTCAGAACCCCTTGGCCATACCATGTTTGCTTCTCACTTGCTGAGTGGGAGAAGGTTCTGTATGCGAGAGGCTCACGCAGCTCTGTTCTCTGAATGCGTGAAGAAGGTGCAAAAAAGGCTGTCTAAGGGATGGCTCAGTCTTGTGTGTCCCAATGCTACTGGTTCCTGCGTTCCCTGTACTTTCATCTAAGGCAAGAAGCAATGTGGAGGAGGAGAAGACCTGCTGACAGGAGAGAAAGACAGTTCTCAAATGACTGCCTGAAGAAGTAGATGTGAAATGGGGTGTGTTTCTGATAATTGACTTTGGAAATTCACCTGGAATGTGGATTTCTCTGTTTAGGAAATAAACCTTTTCCACTCATCTTCCTGCTTTTTCCTGCCCCAAACCCATCTGGAGCTGCTACAAGACGAACCCCATGGAGGGTTCAGCAACCCTGTCCTGATTGGGGACTGAATGCCTCTGTGAAAAAAATCTGGCAGAGGAGCGGCACTGACTCAAGTGAGCTCAGCTGGGGAGGAGGCAGCAGCTTAACAGAAGTAGTTTTAAACTGTATCTTGTGTGAAGACAGTCCCTGAGTACCGCTGACATGAGTTGTAGCTTTGAAGTCTTGGGATGGTTTCTTTATTTTTTCTGAAGACCACAGACCCTTAGTTTTTGTGTATACTGGAGAATGTAACTCTGCATCGAAGGAGCAATTTCTAGCCTTTGCAATTGTGGAACAAAGTGCCCTTTTTACCTGAATGCCCTTTTACAGCTCACATCTAGAAAACTTATGAAAACTCATTGTTTGTAGTTAAATCACCAAGTAGCTGGGTGTGAAAAGGCTGTCTCAGAGATAGTGAGATACAAGGGAAGGACATGAAGTAATTTGCTCCAAATTCACAACCTGAAACCAAATGGGAAAGTTACAGTCTTTCCACTTGCTCCTTCCTTTGTTTTGAAATCCCATTGGTAAGTAGCAGAGGAGTTGAGAGGCAGCTAGAAGAGTTAGGATAGAAGCGTCTACCAGCTCTAACTTTCTACTTGCATCTTCAGAGACAAGCGGACATGATGGGGCAGGACGGTGCTTGGAGGAAAAAGGAACAGAAAGAGAGCTTCAACCTCTCTTTTATACCTTTATCCCAGAAAGACTGCGAATAATACAATTTTTTTGAGGTACTATGGAAAAGGAAGTATCATAACTTTTCTTTTTTCCCACCTCATAAAAGGAAACTTGCATGACTATAACAGCCATGCTTAGGGCAGTGAATTTCTGTCATTGTGACAAAGTTGGTCTCAAGTATTTCCTTCGCCTAGCTTCAGCAGACTAAGACTGTTCTGGTACCAGCGTTTTGGGGGCTGTAACATTGGGAAAGAAAAGGTTGGAGTCACTTACTAAATCTCATAGCACCTACTGCTTTTTGAATGAAAGGTGTACTGAGAGAATGCTTACTGCGGTTGGAACAGGAGCTCCGAGACTGAGTCAGACCATCAACAGGCTTTTTGTGGTGAGGTATAATAGTTCACCCAAAGAGAAACGTAGGTAGTTCTCATGTGATCTGTCAGCACAGAATAGTGATGACTCTACTTGTGAAAGGCAACCTCTGCAAGAAAAGGAAAAAAAAGGGGGGGTGGGGGGGTGGGGAACACGACAAAAAAGAAATCTGCATGTTAGGAGTCCAGTTTCTGTGGTGGTGGATTCTAATAGTCAAGCAGCCTTACCCTGTAGCACCTGGCGCAGCTCTGCATGGCTGCTCAGGCACGGTGGAACAGAGCAAGGCTTGTGCTGTATGCTTCAAAGACAATTTGCTTCCCTTTTGACTGCAATAACTTAAATAAGAACCTTTACTCTGAGAAATTAATTAGTCTGTTAAGTAACTGCCTTGTCAGAAATGAAAATCTCCTGGAAAGATTGAATTCTGTGTAGTTCATGGCAGTTCATAGCCAGCCACATGACCTGGTTGCATTCTGGATATAGAGATCTTACGTTTTTTTATATATATTAAAAAAAAATTTAAAACCCCGCAAACCCTAGCAGCAAAACAGTTAGATTCTGTGGAATGAAATAAAAACAGAGGTTAAATTACATTCTTGATATGAGGGATAGCCTGCGCAGAATGACAAATAGTGAACACATACAGCAGGTTCCACGCCTATGAAGTAAGTTCGGAGGGGACAGGGGATACAGTGCAGCTTTGTCCTGCTAAACAGGCTTAAAATGTTGATAATTCTACAACAGTAGGCCTTAAAAATGTAAGTTTGTATTTTGAATAAATTTAAGGTACTATTATATAACAACGTCAACTTTTCTTTTTTTCCTCTTCCCCTCCTACAGATCACACATCCGTGGGCGGGCTGGGAGACAGTTTTTATGAATATTTATTGAAAGCCTGGCTTATGTCAGACAAGATGGACACGGAGGCAAGGAAAATGTACGACGATGCAATTGAGGTGATTATAATTCATTGAGTTTTCCAATACAGTGGAACTTAAAAACCATCTTTAATACTTTAAAAAAAAAAAAAAAAGCCCAAAACCACTATACCACAGGACTTGTTTTGATTATGTAAGTTTTAAGAAGTCAAGTGATGAATAATACTAGCTTTTACTCTGAGAAGTTTAAAAAGTATTATTGTGAATACATCTAATGCAGATTATTGTGCTAAAAATAATCAGCTTGTCCAAAACGGTATAATGTAAAAGCCCAAGCTATAGCTTATTAGAAAGAGGTCTAACGGCCCTAAGATGTGTGCAGAATGACCAAGTAACTGTTCTCCAGTGTTCAGAATCATTCTAGGAGTTGAAGTCCTGAATGGTTTTATTCTTTAAATTATTTTCTAAAACATTTAGATGTTATATTCCATATTTATCTTGTAAAATGTAGTTCATACCTATTCCTCGCTCTGTGGTTCTTTGGTGGTACAGGCTTGCTCCCTCTCACAGATCAAGTTGTGCTTGCCCAAGCAGGGTGGTACTGCAGGATGGTTCAGAGGGATTTGGGATGGGGGCCTTTTTGTGGTGGCTCTGAGCTTTATGCTGCCCAGCTCTTACGTTCTTAGTTTCCCCATACACAGGATCTTTCATCAGGCTTGCTTGTGCACATATATGCCAACGTGCCTATGCTATAGTTAAGACACATAGAGAGTAACTAAGCTAGTTTTAGTCAAGTTAGCTGTGGTACCAACAGCAGCAGGGACCGTGTAGTCTTATCCAAGCACAGATATGTGCTTGATGCCTAACTTGTTCCATGCCCTGCATGTTGTGTTTCTTTCAACCCACGCTTTTAAAAGCTTAGTTTTAGCACGGTCTCCTAAAGCAAAATGCCTTGTTCTTGGAGCTCTCAGAATCCACATTTTAAAAGATAGATAGTTTAAGTTCTAGTCCAAAATTGCTCTGAAGCTGTACTGTATCTTATTCCTGACCTGAGTTTGGTTAACATTTGGCTTTCAGCTGCTTGAAACTTCTTCTTTCCCTTAACTGCATCATGTAACTGCTTACTAACAAAGGTACAATAGGCATTCTCTCCTGAAGGACAAACATGTTCTTTTCTTTAGTCTCATGATATAAAACAGATTTTGAATTATTTCTTAAGCTTTTTTCTAAGTACTTTACAATGTCTTCAGTATGGAAACAAGAATGCAGTGGTGGTTCTAATATGTCATCGCCTGGTTTCTTCTCAGTATTCTCTTCAGCCAGCCAAGAGCTGTGTTTGCACTCTTAACCTTTGCCTCACGCTGTCATCCACTTTCCAGTTGTTTTTACTCTGAAGTTGGTTATAGTCTTTTTGATTTAATGCTTTCTTACTACTGTGATTGACATTCCTGATTCCTTAATGTGTGACCTTATACTTATCTCTATTAAAACACAATTGTTCAGGCAAACCCCATTTTGTCACCGTTCTGAATGATTTCACAGGACTGACTTTTTCTTTATCACTATCTATAGCTCCATCAATTTTTGTGTCATCTGCAAATTCTTTTTAGCATTTGTTTCTTACAGCTCATTGGTAGAAATGCTGCCTAGCATTGAATAAAAGTATCTTTGCAGAATCTTCATGGGATGAGGATTTTTCACAATTGTTTGAACTGTTCTAGCAAGCCAACTTTTAATCTACTTCATATGTGCTGCCTTGAGTTTGTTTAGGACTAATATTTTGTACAATACCAAGGCAATTCTTAATGTTTCTAATATCAGCATGTACTTGTCAGTCAGACTTTTATTTTTGAAACCACATCATTCATTTTATGTGATTGTTCTATTAATGTTTAAAATACTGTTAAAGCATCAGCTATTTCCCAGCCCTTTTGAACTTCCTTAGCTTTCCAGGGTTTGTTAAAGTTAACATTAGTAGTTCAAAACATTAGTTGAGTAATTTTAATAGTCTAAAATACAGTTTACTGGGTCCTGTGGGTTTAAAAATGTTTAGCAGTTGATGTTTAACATCCATTGTGGTTACTGTTGAAATATTTATTCTGATTCCTAAACTGTGAGCACTTAGAGGAAATAAACTTTCCTTTTCATCCCCTTCACTGTAAGCCCAGTCGTGCAAACATTTTATATGGGCAAATCTCTGTCTCTGAATGGAGACACAGCTAAGCAAATTTGAGACCAAATGAAAAAACACTGTGGATAGGAGGTGGAAAGAGCTGAGCTGCTCCAGCTTCACGTGTGATAAGACCTGCAGTGCAAGCATCAGATGGTTTCCTCTTTGGCTTTCTCTTGGCTCAACCCACCCCTGTACATTTGATTCTGCATGAACTGTACTGATTTATGCATTGTGGAACATCCTCCTGGTTCAGGGTTTGTGTTTATCCCAGGTCTTACTTGACACTAAAAGACATGGGCAAAGAGTCAGTGATTAGGATTAGTTTTACATCATTGTGACTTCAATTTTTATTTAAAATCTTAAAATATTTTTAAGAGCCCATTCCCTTACCATTCTTTTGTTGTTACCCATAACATAAGTCTTCCTCCACAGCTGACACTTGTCTTTGTTTTTCAAAACTTAAAGCAAAAGCTTTCCACGTCATTTATGCAAGCAGAAGGGGAAGGGTGTAAAATACATTCTTCCTGCTCACAGCACGGAGTTGGAAGTGTTCTCAGCACCCATCAGTCTAAAAGAAGGTCTCTGTCCAGCCACACTTCACCTCCTTAGCTTATTACAGGTGGGAGGGTAGAAGACAGTCAACCATACCCTCACTCTCAAGTCTTGCATCAGGCAGTGATATCCCATTACTTGGAGGTGTTAAGAGGAAGAAAGATGATAGCATCTGTTCTTCAGATGTCATAATTTCCAATCCATGGCATATGAAGCCTTACACAGGTTGCCACATACTTCATAACAAGAGTGTGAACAAGGTCTGTGTCCGTGAGCTATCCATGCTATAGAACATGAGTGCAGTCTTCCACTGTAAAGGACACTTCATTTCAATGTCTTAAAATGTAGATTCATGGCTGTGATAAAAGCTGAAATTGCAAAACTTGTGGAGAATTTTTTGTGGTTATAAATATTGAGAATGGGCCTCTTAACTTTGCTTTCAACATCATCATGTGGACCTCCCAGCTAGTCTGGTTTAAAGTGCCTTTTCTCTTTCTCACATTAGCTGGAAGATAGGGAAGCTTCCTTTCGATCTGTTGCCTTGAGTAGTCTAATCTGTTAGGCTCACGAACTTGATCCTCACTCTTTCTTATTGCACAGCACTAGATAGCTAGAAGAAGGATTCAGCAGTATGTTTCACTATCACAACATAGCAAGTACTGCTGCAAGACAGCTCAGAAAATGCTATTTTTTTACAGTCATAAAAATCACAGAAAGCATGAACATCAGAGAACATTCTGTTTTCACATCTTGGTCTATTGTTTGGGGCATTTCACAGACTAAGGAAGGTTCTTCCATTGGTTATTCTCTTAGTTGATGTGAACTCTCTTTTCTTTGGGAGCTTAGGTATACATTTCCACTCTAGTGCATATATACTCCTCATGGCCCAGCTGGATGTCACTGCTTTGGGGTGCTCCGTGGCCCCAGGCATCCAGCCCAGGATACAGATGTCACATCTGTCCCGACCTGCTCAAGCTTTTCTTGTCCACTAAGCTGTGCTCCCAGCAATGCCCAGCTGTTCCTTGTTAATTACTGTAAATATTAATTGTCCTTTTTATATAGTTAGAAAGCAGTGGGTTGTTGAATTATAAAGTATTCTGAGAGGGTTGCATTTATTTTCTTTTCTGGGGATGCTTCCTTTGTGATGCTTAAGATGTAACTTAATAATTAAGTAGCTGACAGGACTTGATTTTTCAGATTTCAAAAACTACCCCTTACACAAGACAGTGATGTTCAAGCTCAGAAGATGTGTTCTCTGTTCAGAAGAGGGGCACGCTGCACCTAGATGATGTTCTTCAGTCAAACCCTGAAAGCAAGTCCAGGGTGAAGGAGTAGCTCATGGAGAAGTGTATAAATTTGGCCTTTGCTGGTTCTCCTGGTGCCAACCACAGTGATTTAGTCCCCCTGGAAATGGTCCTTGTAACCATTTACTCTTCAACAGCTACAAAATTACAAAAAGATACAATTCAGAAGGGAATTTCACACAACATTTGGAAAAAACATATTTTCCTCCAGGAAATAAATAATGCAAACACTTTCAAGCCTTCTTGCTCTTCATAGTAGAAGTGGCTTTCCTTCAAAAAGGACTCCAACTTTTATTGTCAGAAAAGTCCTATAATCATCATAATATCTGTTTTGTTACAGTCTAGCATAACTGAATCAACAGAGCTAATGCTATGGATTTTAGTGTCATCTTCAGTGGCAGAATTTTCAGTAGATCCAATCATTCCTATACCAGTACTTTCAGAACAAATGGGGCTTATACAGTTAACCACACCAGGCTCCCTAGCAGCAGAAGCCACAGTATCATGCCAGTCCTCAATGCCAATTTGCATGATTGTTAGACAACCACTCTGGCAGCTGTCAGAGACTTAGTAGTTTCTTCCCTGTCAATTATTTCTGCGTTCTCCTTGCTGGATCCTGCCATAAGCACAAACTTCAGATCTGTCAGTGGTATTGGTGAAGAAATTAACCCAACAGGAATGCAGACCAGCATTTGTCTTCCGTTACCTTCAGAACACACAGGCTTGGTAGAAGGCAGTGGAGAAATTTCACCATCCAAATGGTGGCTCAGTCCACAGTGCACGTAAGGAGCAGGGCCCTACTGATGATAATAGTCTTCTTGTAATCCGCTGCATTGGCTTTTAGCTAGTGTGTTCACCTTGGCCCATATGGGGACTGCCAGATCTTTGCTGAGGATTAGATTCACATCACTATAACCATTCGGAAAAGTTGCTGCAAGCACTGCAGCATCTCAAGCTAAGAAAATATTCATAAAACCACACAGAAACACATCAGTATTCAGAAATGCAAATATTTCAGATTACTGTTTATATTAGTCTTCCCCTGAGGAGACTCCTAATCCTACAGATTCTGCCTTTTCTAACTGTAACTTCAATAATTCTGTTTTAAGAAAAGTTTTTTGTTGAAGAAAACTTTGGAAGACTGTCAAATGTTATTTCAGTACCTGGGTGGAGGACTTCCATGTTATCAAATATTGCTGGGTTCAATACTTTAACAGTCCTGTATCACTTAAGCATCATCTTAAAAAAAAAAATTAAAAAAAAATGAAGTACCTGCTACAGTCACAGAAGAGCTTGAAGTTTTTTTTTGTCCATTTTGTTGAAAACAAAAGACAGTCTCACTTTATTTAGAGGGAAAAGCTATTTCACTGTCCACTTTTAAACCTGAATTGCAAGTTGCAAGCTGATTAATTTATGTATTTGTTGCTTGAATCTGTAAGGTAGTGACCTGCATAGTTTGCACTGTGTAGATAGCAAGGAGACAACTGTGTGCAGCATATACGACCTCCACATCCATGATAACTGCTTTGGTTATATGTGGGGTCATCTACCTGTGTGTGCTCAGTATCTACTTTTAGTGCAATACACAGTTGTGGACATTTGCGGTGTAATTTGTTGTAGGTACCAGGAAAGTAATGGAGAGGGGGTAATTTACTTCTGTAATAGATCTTGTGGATGGCAAGAGGAGTAGTAAATGCCTTTTTAATGGCACTTCAATCCTTCAGCTCTAATCAGCCTTGGAGTACTGCACTTTGTCAGTCACTTGGAGTCATGCACTTTGAAGGAAGTTGTGAACCCATCAGATGGTTATGTGTGAAAGTACAAAGGAGATTTCTGGAAAGAAGATAGGAATAATGTCTCCATGGTAAAGAAGATAATTGTCTTTATTATTATAGGACTCAAACTGTAATGAGAATCTAGTTACAAGAAAAACTGTCCAATGTTAAAGATAAGTACTGCAGTAGATTGGTGTGGGTTGTGAACCTCTCTGAAAGAGGCTTAAGGAAATGTGTTGTTCCATGTAGTTTGCAAACTTTGGAAAGTAAAATCAGGTATTCTCCTTCCTACTACCTGAAGAATACCATTTATAAGTCTCAAGCAAATGTGCAAAAACAAGAAGCAGTTGCATCACCTATAAAATAATAATGTTTTTTGTGAACAGCTGCTCTAACCTGCATGCATCCTTTGACCATGTGCAATCAGACAGCTGCTATGGAAAAGCAGCTAGAAAAGTGGCTGGAGCATTCCTGTCACTTCTTATTAAAGACTGACCGAGATTATAGGTGCTGCCTTTACATATGTTCCTGACCAAAAGTTTCCAACATGGATGTATTTTCTGAGTATGCGCATATTGTACAGCAGAACAAATAGGTACTCCTCAGAGTTAACAGGTAGACAAACATTGTTTGAGCCATAAAAATATGGGCTGAATTCTCAGCTAAAAGTGCTGTGTTATCTGTGTTGTGATTTTCCTATGTTTGTTTCATTAGCAGCATTTAGCAGTTAGGGTATTTTTTTGTGTGTGCATTGAAATTATATTCTTATAGCCGTTTGTTCCTGTAGTGTTCAGAATTGAATTTGAAAGAAAATTCTTTTTGTTTTGAAAACAGTACTTTATTCTTTGAAGGAGAGTTAGTGTGTAAAACTTGCATGTGAAACAGTATTTGAAAGTTCTCCTAATCTTCTTGTAGGCCATAGAAAAACATCTCATCAGAAAGTCCAATGGAGGACTGACCTTCATTGGGGAGTGGAAGAACGGGCACCTTGAAAGAAAGATGGGCCATTTGACCTGTTTTGCAGGGGGAATGTTTGCCCTTGGAGCAGATGGTTCCAGAGATGATAAAGCTGGACATTATTTGCAGCTTGGAGCTGAAATTGCACATACGTGTCATGAGTCATATGACAGGACAAGTAAGATATATTGCTAATCTAGTTATATCTGTAGTTGAAATACAGAAATTGTCATCATTATTTTTAAGATTTGTTATGAACCCATGCCTTGTCTAACATCCACTGGTTTTATACCAGTATAATTTTTTTTAACAGCCGTGTATTTACTTCTGATCTACATCATGGTAAGTAAATGTAAGACCAGACTTTGTATGGTTCCTTCCTGCACATTTATCCCTATTTTTGGGTCAGTCAGCTAAGACAGGTTATAAGGGTGCAGGGAGGGAGGAGTGTGTGTGAACTCTTGTCCTCCCAGATATATAGGGCAGTTTTTCGTTTCATATATATTGTTCTTACAGTTATGTACAGTGAAAAATTTGTAAACACACCTTTTACCAGTTTTAGTAATAGTACATTCTGGGTAAGTACAACTAAACTAGAGAGGATGAAGATTAATATGCAAACTGTAAGATGGACAAAGACCTGACTAGTGAGGAGGCAATATCAGACTTCACTGTTGGGCTGGAAGCTTCTCAAGTTCAGTCTTTTGGACCAGGTTTATTTTACATCTTCAGCAGTGACTTTGATGCATAAAACTGAAGTGTGCTGATTACACTTCCAGTGGCTGTAAAGTCATAAGACACAATTAAAACAGAAGAGTCTCAGAATAGCAAACAGGAAGATCTTGAGGACTGGACTTTGGGAAATAAGTAGTTCACTAGAAAAAAGGCAGGAGCTCTTTCTCTGAACTGGGAGTGGAAAAATGCCAGTGCAGTCCTAGTCTGTACCAGGTGAAGAATTCTCATCAGAGATTAGAGAATATTAACTGCCTTAGAAGACCTTACCTGTGATTTGTCATCCGGAATACACTGTACAAATCTGAATTTCAGGCAGAACAAATGCAGAGAAGGACCAACAGAATTATTAGAGCAACAGAACTTTTATCTTACAGTGGGAAAACAAGAGAGGTCGGCCTGCTCAGACTAGAAGAATAATGCCAAAGAAGGGAATAAATTTGTTGTCCTCTCAAGGGGTAAACACCAAAAAGAAATAGAGTTATTCTAAGATATAAACAACACAGTTGTACCAAGAGCAAGATTTGTAAGCTCACCATGAATAAATGTAGGTTGGAAATTGGAAACGGCTTTGTGTAGCCATCAGAGAAGTCAGCTGCTGAAATAACTTCCTAGTAGAAGTAATGGTGACTAATACTCAAGCGGTTTTAAGATGAGAATTCATGTATTTATTCACAGGATTACATAGTATCAATGTATAATTGCCTGTCATTTTAAAGAATTGAATCACATAAATGATACTTTTACCTGGGTAGCAACAGCATTAAAAAAAAAAGGAAGAAATATGGGGATGCTTAAGGAAAAAGGTAGGATGTAGTAGCTATTGTTGCATTCTGAAAAACTGCATTTAAATGTTTAATTCAACACTTAAAAACAAGCAATGTTAAATTTACAGTTGTTTGTGCAGTCCTAATTTTATTCCTTCAGATGTTTATTCTGTACCCTAAATAAGTCAAAAGATGGTGGGGGGATAAAAGTTTTGGTTACATATTTAATGACTGTGTAAGAACACACACATGGAAGAAACAGACTGAAAACTGTACAGACAGCTATAAATTTGCAATGCCCTAGTTTTCTTTTGTTCAGTCATGCAGTCTCAGGAATGTGGATTTTTTTTTTTTGTGGGTGGTTTTTTTTGCCTGGACTGATTTTTCAAAGAAAATAAAGAACTGTTACGTGCAAAATGTCAACTTCTTCATTATGCCTTAACAGCAGGATTTGAGGCATAATTATACACTTTAATGACAGAACTAGCTGGTTGCAGAAAAAAACTCTTTCAGAGGGCGGTCAGTCATCCTGGTTCAGCTGGTAGGTTTATGTTTCAGTCTGCAAAGGGGAGAGCCTGATCTCTTTCTCATAAAGACCTGGGAGAACTCTTGCCCCATTTGCTGTCCCCAGAGGAGACAGCAAGGTGCTGAGGCTATGTGCTGAGGATAGAGAGCTCTTTTCTTCAGATAAACCAACCAGAGCTGTCCTTCCCTGTGTCTTCCCAGGGTTGCTCATAATAAACTACAGTATATACCTGGTCTTATAATATTTTAGTATAAAAATACTACTTTATGAGGCAACCTAAATTTCCATAAGGCCTGAACATGTGGTAAAAACAAATGCTGTTTCAAGGTCCAGTCTCAGCAAAATCAAAACAGGACTTAGAGAATAAAAGCACTTCTGGAAAAGAAGGGCAATTGTATTGCCAACTGCCAGCAACCTGTTGCACATATTGAAGATATGAAAGCCTGATTAAAAAAAAAAAGAATTTGATATTTTAGAAAGCTTCAGGCAAATTCTATATTTGATGCTGTCTTTACAATAATGTTATATAAATCATTGAATACCATCTCCTGAAATTCTGGTTTGAAATCATGCTTTCCAAGTCTTGCCTAAATAAATAAACATGGTGACATGACAGATGATTTAGGGTCCAGGACTTCTGGGTTTTCAGATAAATTCCACTGGAGTAACTTTGTTCTGGACAGATTTTGCCAGTGTGATAATAAATGAAATGGTCTTGTCTTGCAGTGACAGTCCACATGCCTATTTAGCATTGAGGTGTTTTTCTGCCATGACATTTGTGGCTGGAGATTCTTGATATATTACGATTTTTTTAAGGCAATAATAGTATCCTCTCAGGTCACTTTCCCCTCTCATACATTACCATGTCATCAAACTTAATCATGCTCTATAAGGCAGAGCATTTGTGGTGACTTCAGCCTTCTTTAACAAAACAATACTTTACTTATTTTGTTAAGTTAATATAGCCCTTTCACTTGTTCTTGCCTGTTTGCCTCTCTTCCTCATTTACTTGCCTTTGGGACTGAAGTTACCACAACTGAGAAGTCACAACATGTGAGAAGTCACCTGTTGAATTATGATTGCTCAGAGTCTCATTGTTTCTCTGGTCCCTTGGATGCATTTGCTTCTATTGATGACTTCCAAGACCCTTGAGGTCTTAGGCCATCATGAATCCTTATCCGCTTTCTGGTCTACCCCTTGATGTCAGGCATTCTGTCACCATCCAGTTTGTGCTCTCAGCAGTAGATCTCCGTGGTGTTTAGGAGCAGTTGCCCCAGCAGGCAGTTACACCCTCTTCTCCCAGGTGACAGCTGGAGGAGCAGATTGTATTGCAAGAATCCCCCACAAACCTAGCTGGGTTGCAGTGCTCCCAAACATATTTATTCTAATGCATTCTCCAACTGAAATACTTTTTTTAGGTTCCGCAGACACATGATGAAAAGATGTGTGTTTTGCCAGGAGGATTGAGGACCACCCTGCAGATACAAAAGCATCCTGCTTTTTCACCTCTTCACTGGTGGAAAAAATACCCTCCACTGCCCATCCTTTCTTTCTGTTTTGGCAACAGCAATCACTTTGCCATGTAACTAGCAGAAGTTCCCACGTGGTCACAGATTTGCACAGTAACATTGTAGACTGGCTCATTTGCCTTAGCCTTGGCACCATTGGAATGAGAGCCAGCCCTTGCCCTGGCTCTGTGAAAATCCCTGTAGTTTCTGCTTAAACTAATGGTCAGCCTATAGCACTCCCTGCAGGATGCCTTTCTAATTCACCAGCTGGAGGGAGCTAATGGTCCTTGGAACGTAAAGGCAGGGGGTGCAGGAGTGATTCTGATCTGCCTCTGAGAAAGGGATTTGTGTTTCCAGGATCCATTGAACTTGTTGGCATGAGACCCCCAAGGCTCTTCCTCTCTTCAGGAAATTGTGAATCAAGTGGCACCCCTTGGAAACACCCAAGGATTTGAAAAGGCTTATTGACAGTCTAAGTCAGAAAACTTAACTGTAACCAGAATAGTCTTGTGGTGTGTAATCTACATATGCCTCTTTTTCCTACCTACTCTGCCTTTTTCTTGGACCATAAGCTATTGATAGGTTTTTGCAATCACCCTGAATCTCCCATCCTATCACAGGAGATTGCAGGATTTTTCTGTAGTCCAGTGTGCTCTCGATTTGTAGAGAAGATTGAGAGAACCAAAGATAGAAGGCATGCTCTCATCTGTATGCCCATGTACCAGCACAGCACAAGGAATCATAATGCTGTCAGTGGGCACTGATAAGGCTAAAAGAATACAGCTTCAAGTGCTTATGCTGCAAGTTTTCTCAGTGCTTAAGCTTGTGTGTGGACTGCACATCTCGAGGTGTTCCAGTTGCTGGGGATTAGTTCTTTGGTTTACATGCTTCACAGGTACCACTGAGAAATTGTGGCAAAAGCATAAAATAACTGGTAATGCAAAATCCATAAATGGTTAAAAAAAAAAAAAAAACCTCCAATAAAATTGAAAGAATAGGAAACCACTAACAAATCAATCTGAATAATTACCTTTACAGGTATTGTAGAGGTTAGATTAATAAGCAAAATTATCTACATTGATGGTAGCCTGTGCTGATTTATAGCACACAGCATTTTTAGTAAAATACACCATCCTTTCTACATAAGAATTTTCCCAGCCATTAGCTGATAGTATGCAAAGTATTGACTGACTATGGACAGATTATTTTAGGATGAATTTTTTTGCACATCTTTAAAGTTTCTTGACAAGAACTGTTCTCAGAATCTGGGTACGGCTTTAGCTGATTTTGTATGTGTGACAATTCCAATGCAGAATAAGCCAGATGACTAAGATTTCAGCTGAGACATTGCAAGGGTATGAGTAGATGTTGTCTCTGTCCCAAGACACTCAGTAAGCAGCTACACAGGCAAAGATGAAGAAACGAGAGTAATTACTTTTTTTTATGAGAAGTATAAAATAACAATGTGCATTGATGGAATGGTTCAGAGAGTCTCAAACAAAAGTATCTTGGAGGTTCTCTTCCTCAAATGTTATGTAAGTTAGAGCCTAGAAAGTATTATTATAATTATGTATCCTTTCTTACTTTCAGGAAATTTATTGCTAGATTGACTGCAGTCTTAAAGGAACACACAAAAAATTAAACAGTGTTTTCAAAAATATTTCTAAATAATAAATATTTATCTAGAAGTCTGAGGATTTGCCCTTATTTTCAGCAGTGCTAAATACAGCTCTCATTGAAGTCAACTTTAAATCAGTTAAAATGTCTTTTAAAATGGTACTGGATTAGCTTTGCAATTTTGCACTATGGTGTGAAATTGTTTCTCACCTGCTCTCCCTGCCTAGACTAGAGCCTATCAGCCCCATTAATACTAAAATACCCGTATTAAAGTGTGACCACTATAGCATTGTAAAATGGCCTTAGATGATTCTTTGCTTAGAAGAATGCTCCCCTGAAAGCTACTATGTTCGTAGTTCATACTATGTTCATAGTAGCTTCTTTACTTTAGTCAGCTATTAGTAAAAGTGCTGTGATTAATTTCACATCTTCAGTTTCAGATAAAAATCCAGTGAGATTGTCACAGTTATGCAGGGGTCACACATCCTTGGGTGGATTTCTTGCAGCACCCAATAATGTTAGAAGTAGATATGAGTAAATAATTAAAGATCTAATGCACCAGCAGGCTCCAAGGGAAGAGACAGTGTCACAGTTTCTGGAGGTGATGCATCACCAAGAACTTCCTGAAATCTAGCTGCTTTGGTGGATAAGAGTAATACGGCTGATGTGGTTTACCTGATTTCCAAAAGGCTTTTTTGAAAGTTCTTTACTAAGGCCCTTTAAGGGTATTAAGCAGCTGCAGCATAAGCAGCAAGTACCTGCATGGAGAAAAAAAAAATCGTTGTAGTATAACAAATAGGGTAGAGGTAAATAGTCAGCTCTTACAATGGACAAATGGTGGTTAACCAGTGGTACTCTGATATATTTAATATATATTTATACAGATATGTGTATAAATGTAGAGTATGTTTATATTTATATATGTATATATATGTATCTATAAATAAAAATATGTACATATATACACATATATAAATGATCAGAAAAAGGGCAGGAACAGTAAGGGAAGTGTGCTGATAATAACTAAGAAAAAAGCTATTCGGGATAGCAAGGATGAAAGAAAGTTGAAAACATTACGCAAGCACCTTATGAGGTTGAGTAATTGTGTAATCATTTACTGAATTAAATTCAGTGTAGCTAAATGTAAAGTGAGGCACCTATGAAAAAATTATTCCTAACTTCATATATAAATTGATGAGCTCTTAACTGACCATTACAACTCGGGAAATTGCTCTTGAGATTATGAAAATGTCAGCTCAGTAGCAGTCAGGAAAAACAAAGTGAGAAAGAGCAAAATAGAAAATGTCATTATGTCACTGTATTAATCTTGTCCACAATTTTAGTGCTGTATTCAGGCTGGTCCTCTTGTTTCACAAAGGATATAGTAGAACTGGAAGAGTTGCAGAGAAAGGCTAGAAGGAAAACTAAAGACATGGAACGGTTTCCATTCAAGGAACAAATGAATTGGGTAGTATTGTTCAATGTGGAAAAGGGACATTTTAGGTAGGTACAACAGATTTTCAAAATCACTAGGCAAGTGGAGAGGGTGGATAGGAATGAGTTGTTCACACTCTTCTCCAAGACAAGACCTAGAGACTGTTGAAGCTGAAAATGGAAAAGAACAAAAAAAATTGGTTCTATACCAAGGAGGTATTAGAGATGTGGAACTTCTTAGCAGAGGTTGTTTTGGATGCTTAAGGCTTACACAGGTTTAGGAAACACCAGATAAGTACTTGGGAAATCTATTAGGAATTACTGTCTACATTAAAAAGTATGTCTAGTTTGGGAGAAGCCTTGAGGTCAAAAAAATTGGAGACTGGTAAAGAAGTTGGAAAAAGGTATCTCATATACTTGGCCTGTTCTTCCTCTTCCCCATCCTTGTCTGATATTGGCCATTGTTGGAGATGTGATACTGGATCAGACAGAACTTAAATCTGGTCCGGTATGGTCATTCTTGTCATCTTAATTTTGGGTAGGTAGAACTCTGTATCTAATGTCATGATTTTTGCAGTAGAATTTGTAATCTTTTTTTTTTATTGAAACTGATAAAATGGCCCATTTTGAAAGGAAAATCATGAAAGTTTCTTGATGGAGTTTTCCTTTCCATACATGTGCCTGAAGCAGAGAGTGGTGCTTTTTTTCTGTTGGCATCCAGAGTCATATTCCCTTGAAACAAAAAGTTTAAGGAACGTTTTTTTGAGATTTTCTGCTGGGGCACACACTGGGAGGTGCTCATATTTTTCACTGTAGTACTCTAAGGTTCCCCTTTCAGACTCATGAGACCATGGTTAATCTGAGTCTCTAGTCCATAGGAATTGCACGATTAATTGCTTTGATAATTTTTAAAGCTCGAGTGCAGCTTCAAAGTTCAGTGTCTTAAAAATTCTCTGCCAAAGCAAAGGGTGGGGTGCAGCTGTAGATAAGAGTGCATTATTTATGTCAAATTTGAGGAATAATGTGTAGCTGTATAATAAAAAACAATGTAATTGCATCTTCATATTATGGACATTTTTTCTACAGGTACCTCCTTCTTATAAGAATAATCTTCCAGGTGCTGGCACAGAGCCATTACAGCTTCCTTTAAGGGCTGAAATAGTGAATCTCTTAGTTCAGAGATTTATTTTCAGGTGTGGCTAAGTTTTCGTTGCCTAGCTGTAAACCCTTTACTTGAGAATCATGTTATGAAGCACATCAGTTACGGTGGCCTAACAGCACTTCCCTAAACCAAGAGAGTTTGGATAAAGATGCAGGTTATTTCAGATGGTGGTACCTGGTTTTGTTCTAAGATCTTCTCCTGCTGTGCTGGGTGGCATCAGAGGACATCAAAACCTCTGTTGACCCTTTCTTTTTTTTTTTTTTCTTTTGCTTGGTTAACTGATGTTGGTCACTTCAATTTTGTCCTATAGTTGAATGTATTAATGTGTTTATCTTCTTAATGTTTCATTAATTTTCAAGAGGATTACTGTACTCCTGTCAAGATAGGTAGTTTTCTCACAGGAATTGGATAAATTATTCATAAGAAAAATTATAGGCCTCAACAATAGGAAATATTTATGAGACTGCTTAAAGATGAGCTCCTTTCTGCTTTTCTCATATGCTTGGGATATAGCAGTCTCCTAGCCCACCCTTCCTGCAAAGATTGGTATGGAATTATTTTTTTTATTTTTTTTATTTTTTTTTTTCCTTCCTCTCCTCTGCAGCATTAAAGCTGGGTCCAGAAGCATTCAAATTTGATGGTGGTGTAGAGGCAGTGGCAGTGCGGCAGAATGAGAAGTATTACATCCTAAGACCAGAGGTGATTGAGACCTACTGGTATATGTGGAGATTCACCCACGATCCCAAGTACAGGCAGTGGGGCTGGGAGGCAACACAGGTAAATGTATTAATTATCTGTCAGTAAATTAATTCTGTGTATTTTCCTTTAGTAGTCACTTTAATCTTGTGGTACGGAAACACTTGAAATGGTAACTGATTTTCACAAGTTCCTGTAAACCAGGGTACATATGGGGGTGCATGTCATTATTCCTGTTTCACAACTGCTGAATCAGATGCACAGATGAGAAACGTGTTCAGCATTATACAGCTGATGGGTTTCAGGCATGGAAATAGAATCCACTGGTCATGACTCCTACTGTTATCAGTAGTCCACAGCCCTCAAGCGAGGTAATTTATCCTGGGAAATGAAAGTGTATTATAAATAACTTTGTTAAGCATGTGTTAGCACTCAGTTTAGATTAAAAGACAAAACTATTCTTACGGTCCCTTCTTGGTCAACTGTTAAAACACTTGTGGTAGGACAACTGCTCTCAGATGGTTTGTAGAGTAGATAGCATGTACCATATGTATATGTGGGTTGGTATCATGGCTCTTTCTTTTCTTAGTTGTCTGATTGGAAGGGAAAAAAAATTGCAAGTCAGTTAAGATTTACTCAATTACAACAAAAAATTGCATCACTAGCAGTAGACCAGAAAGGGAAGTGAATAAGTAATGGCACATGAGGCAGAACTTAAAAATTGTTGCTAAGGCATTTTAGAGATTATTGCTTTTTTTTTTTTGTGTAGTTGCTTTCCTGGGTTTAAACCTAGTTGTGTGTTTTAATCAAATTCCCAAGTGTGAAAGTGCTTCTGAGTCTTTTTCATTGGAAATGCTTGTACTGGTCTACAGAAGCCCAAATTCATTGTAAGACTCTCGAAGCAGACCTGTGCTCATGGCCTTCCTTCATTCATCCTTTGTACATAGATGGGTAACTCCTTTGTTTGATAGTCATAGATTATGGGCTATATGAATAACTAGGCTTCATTTTTCATGTGGCAGTATAATATTCTAATTGTAAAAATTATTTGTAATTCCCAAAAGACTTCTCCTTTTATGCTTCCTAGGGCTGAACTTGTGAGCCTTTTCTGGTCTCATGTTTCTCATTGCTTCCACCTGCTGGTCTGTACTGGGGCTGTGCAAAACTCATTTGCTGGCCAAGCTGTTTCTGATCATCTTCAAGATCTGAGTGGCCATTGGATTACTGCAGCTCCTCCACCTCCCTGCTACAGCTCCAGCAGTCTTTGGAAACGCAGTTCCAAGCCCGTTTCAGAGATGAGCATAAATATTAAAGATAAGACACTAATGAAATATTTTGAGTACAGCCAAAAGAGATGAGAGAAGAGCAAAGGTAGACATGAACCAAGAACCATGAGAAACTTTATTCTGCAGGTGAAAACCAGTTTTGCTCCAGAGGCAAGAGACCCAGAAAAAGTACTTGGAGCAAGAGGTCTGCTGAGAAATGTGGATCTGCTCATCAGGTGGAAGATAGTTAATGCAGGTTCAGAATATTTAGCTGAGCTCATCCCTATCCTTCCCTCAGTGCAGTCACAATCATGTAGAAGAGTCCAAGTATTTTAAAATTATGTCTTAGTCATGGCTTGGTTTTACCTTGTAGGCTCTTTTGTTATAACCAACATTATGTTATTCTGGAGAGAGGTTCCACATCTGTCACATTTGTATTCCAGAATGCATTGCTGCTTTCTCCAAAACATCAAACACTTGAGTCACATCATCCCTCCTGCCCAAACTATGCATTTTTCTAAAATGACAAAGAAACGGATTTAGTAACCTACTCCTTGCCAGTGTGTGTACTACAAATGCTTGCTGATCTAACACCAGCTCCTGTCAGAAGCTATGGCAGGGATTGGGTCCTTTGCACTAGGTTAAAGGTTTTACATATATAAGTTTTTCAGGACAGGATCTCTCTCTTAAGCGCACTGCAAAGCATGTCTTTGAATTGCATTTTGTTCAGTTTTCTCCATTTGCCTTCATATCGTGGTCCCCATTAATGGTTTCAAATCAAACCCTCCCTTCCTCCTCCCCTGCCTCCAATTTTCTCTCTGTGCAGGGTAGGATTTTATTTTATCCTTCTGTCAACCTGCATCAAGGTTGTGTAAGTCAAGCAGCCCATGTGCTTAACTGCCTCTGTCCTTACAGAGTGCCTTTTCCTGCTTGCTTCCTCAATTACATAGCCATAAAATATTGTTGAACTCTTTGTAAATGGTTCTACATACTCCTCCCTCCCACAAGTACAAATTTTCTTTCCCCCACCATCATACTAACACAGAAGCTTGGGAAGCTTTTCATTCCCCAGGATTTTCTGTTCCCTGCATATAGATAAGTTCTCGTGTTTAGTCCTCACACCTACTTGCTGCTTTCGCTTTTTCCCTACCATACGCAGCTCTAGTTGTGTTTATTTCTCCATTTATAAATAAAGAAGAATCCGGTAGGACACACAGAGCAGTTGGCTTGCTGCTCTGATACAACACTGTCTATATTCGCTTTCGTTTTGCCTTTCAACTGCTGAAGTGTACTTTGAAATCTGTATTACAGACTTCTTATGGTGAATGATAAGTCTCTTCATCAGAAGGCTAGTAGTTCTTTTAAACTTTTGGGGAAACTGAGTTTTGTTTCAGAGTTCTACGTGGTCTTATTTTTCTACATTGAACCTGGTGTAACCTGGTGTTTGATGACTGAGTTCTTGGTAGTTTCCCTTGGTTGCTTCTTTGAATGGATGAATACATCCCTACCCGAATGGATTTGGTCTGCTTCTGTCATTTCAAGAACTCTTCAGAGATGATCCAGGATACATTGCAGAACCACCTGGCTTTTAAGTATACTGCATTACCTAGGTTTCTTTAGCACTCCCAGCCCAGACCTTTCTCTGCCTCTTATCATTGGGAGTTTGCGCGGAGGGCTGCATTGTGTGTGTATGCAGATCTTTGTACTGTACTTTCTTTATCTATTTCACCATTGGCAGCTTCTTTTTGGCTTTATTATCTAGATTATTGGACAAAACTTGGGCATTTTAGTGCAGGTGTTGTGCTTTGATCAAGACCTATTTTGTCACATCTCTCCAAATCCAGCATCCGTGTGGAAAAAACAGGAAGTTGAATCTTATATTCCCTTAGTGATCATAAATCCCTGTGACAGGGTCTCTGTCTCTTTCCTAATAAAAAAAGGCTAATTCTCCCTACTACTATACTTAGCACTAGAGACCACATTCATCTCAATTGTATTGGGCCAGCCAAATTGGATGATGGGCCCCAGCTGGGGGGCTGGCTGAAATATTACAGAAATACGCGTGCAAGATACTCAGGGTAAATACAGAAAATTACTAAAATCCATTTTAAGCTAATTATTTGAAAGCAGTAAAAGCCACCACTCCACAATAGGCATGTAAAGCCAATTACTAATCTAAGCTGTGTGAATGAAGGGTTCAACTGTTTGTTGGGGACTTCCATATCTGACTAAGTAGGATTGCACCATGGAGGCTGCAGAGTTCGTTCAGAGTTTCTACTTACAGTGAAAATAATATACAAATTATATTTGTATATACAAATATAATATATACAAAAAATATACAAATCTGGGTTAGCTTTCGACTTGACAGTAAGATGGAGTGGAAGGACCTACAGCTCTCTTGTGTAGTGAAGCAAAGTAGACAGAAAAGAGCCAGGCATAGGCTGGAGGTGAAAGAAACATGGTTTCACAGCTCATGGGTTGGCAGCTGTGAGTACCACAGAGAGGTACTTTGGGGAGGGAAGCTGATGAAGAAACTGGCACAGTTTTTATGAGCATGTTGTTGACATAGTCGAGTCACACATGCAACCACAAAAACACCTTCAGAGGAACTGAAGGAGCTCGGGTCTGATCTAGAGGCACTCCCAATTTTAGTTCCAAAGGGCTTAGATCAACTCTGACCTCCCCGTATGTCACAGGCTTGGAAATTTCACTTTGCATCATTTTTGAGCTGACGTATGTATTTGGCAAGAGTACGCTATTGCATATTCTTCTGTTCTTGGTTTGAATAAAGGGAACTAGAAAATCCAGTTCTTCTGGTAGCTTGTTCCATTATTTAATTATTGTGCTTTCCCATTCGAATTTGTCTAGTTTCAGCTGTCAATGACTAGATTTTCCTATGACTTCCTGTACCATATTAAAATGCCTTTTATTCCCCCGTGTTTTCTTTCCAAAGAGTTTTCATGGATTGTAATAAGCTTACTACTGAGTCTACTTAAGATGCTAACCAAATTGTATTGTCTCTCACTGTAAAGCATTTTCTCCAAATGTTTGTAACGCATGTCAGTTCATCATCCTTTTTAAAAAATGAATTCTAGAATTGCATATTCCAGTTTTGTCATTATACACAGCCCTGTGCAAAAGTAAAATTATATCCCTACTACCGTTTACTATCTCTGTGTGTGCACCTGCCACAACATCCTAGCAGGAGCTCATACTGGATTGTCTCATGTGGCCACTGAATTTGTTTAAGTGTCTCTACTTTCCAGGCTAATCTGGTTCTCCAGTTATACAGCTTGTATGTCTAGATTTAGGATTATGTGCCTGGTTATATGAAACACATTTACTTCGGGCTCCAGTTACTGCCAGATTACACTGACTGCTGTTATTTACCTGTCATTTTTGCCAGCAGCAGTGTTGCAGTGACTGATAAAACTTCAGACCATTCCTTGTGGATTTCTGTGAGAAGCAGCTAGATTTGTTGACGATTTACAGTGACAGTTCATTCTTAGAGCACTGTCAGTCAGTTTTAAATTAAGGTAGTGATACTGATATGGTATAGTGCTGCTTTGTTTTATCATAAAGTCTTACGGTACCATGTCAATCGCTTTAGAAATTTTAAGTTTATTACACCTCAGCAGTTACCTTTATTTGCCAATTTGTAGACCTCAAAGAATTAAATCAAGCTTGTGACCAAGGTAGTCTTCTATAAAACCATGCTGATTGGTGTCAGCTATCCTCTTATTCTTCTAGATTTCTTCACATGTGTTTCCATAATTGTTTGGGACTAATATCAGGTAAGTCATCTTAAAATTACGCAGCCTGCCCATGTCTCATAATAGTAGCGTTACCTGCATACCCTTCCAGTCATCTAGGACTTCCCTGTATTCTAGGGTGCAAAAAATTTAGCATCATTTTATCAAGGAAACTGGTCTTCAGCTCTGGAGTGAGAGATTATGCAGGTGGCAAATCAGATGCCTCTGCACCAAGTACCCCAAGATCTGTGTGAAGGCAGAACACGGCAAATTTCAGGTGCCTTTTAAACAGCTTGTCTACAGCACCAAACTTTTCAGCGTTCTGAAGTTCTGTACACCTCTGAATCAAGGACAATTTGTTTATCCATATTTGGATGAATAGCTGTATAGCAATCAATCTTTCAGAGGAATTTTTTCTCTACAGTTCATTACTACCTGCGGTGTCTAGATCTGTGATCAACTAGGCTAAATCCTCTGAACTCCAGTCTAGCCAGAATCTGTCTCCCAGGGAGAAATTTCTGAACATACAAGACTACTTGGTAATAGTAGGAAAAAAACAATCCATATAAATCACACGTTTTCTTTCTTCAGGCTTCTAGGCCTGCTAGCTTCACCAGTGTTGCACTTAGTTATCCAAGCGTGAGACCTCTACAGCACAGAGCAGGATCTCAGTGCTATCTGTTATCTACAGTCTCCAGAATAAACAAGTTGTGTCTCTTTCGCTGACTTGGGATTTTAATTCTTAAGGAGGAGGGAGAGAATATCCTAACAGTGGTACCAATTGTTCCTTCTTTTCATTTTGCCACAATGACTAACAAGGTTCTCCTGTCTGAGCTGTGGCACACAGTGTCTGGATTGCTGAATTGTTGACCAGAGGAACGCCTGCAAGGTCAGACTCCGCATGCTAGAAATTCTGGCAGGATTGTAACCACTGGAACTTCCCACCCCCGTCTTGCCACACTCCAGAGCAGAGACAAGGTTGTGTTCTACTGTATTATAAAAAAGGGGATAGTGGCAAGAGGAGGCACTTCATTTCCTGCCTAGAATGCAAAAGTGCTTTGGCTGTTGTTTTTTCATATGACACCTGCCTAGCGGGTGCAGGACTCACAGGAAGGAACATGTAAATGGTTCCATAAACAGCGTATGGTTTTTTTTAAAGAAGTCAGCCAAGCAATCAATTTTGCTGTTGTTTGGCTGCCATGTGATAGCTAGCATCACGTGCGGTGTGCAAAGTGTGCAGACAAAGGAAGAGATTGTCATGCAGTTGTCATGCAATTGTCATGCATGTGATGCTGTTGGGCAAGATGTGTCACACCTTTCTCTCCAGATTGTAGAGAAAACCTGATCAACCCAAATCCCAACACGTGAATAGTCTCAGTGTAGCCCTAGCCTGTACCAGTAACCAACTCTGAAAGGAATTCAGCCAGACGCTTTCTCCTTTTAGGCTCAAGTCCCAACAAAAAAGGGAGCATTTCCATCTGAACTTGGAGAGATCTCCACTTGAGATAAGGAATTACAGCGAGAATTAGATTTTGCCAAGAAAGACTGTACCTTTCTTGGCATAAGCTCAGGCTCTAGAGCCACGGCCATTCCAGTAACATCCTTTTGCCAGTCTCTCCTCTTGCTTCTTTAAAAATCTTGGTCTTCAGAAATTTGAAAGATTCTACAGTCTGGATTATTCTTTTGCACCTGAACTACCTCACATTTCCATGGGGTAAGAGTGTATACTAGGAGGAGGTTAGCTGTAGTACCTTAGTACTACATGTAGTACCTTAGTACCTATGCTGTGACCTACTGTCCTAGGTACCTTGGTCATTTGCCTTTTCACTTTTCATCCTGATTTCAATGATGGCATTTGCCAGCATTCTTCATGTATGTGTCCAATGGAAAATTTCCCTTTGTTTCCCAGTATTTCTAGTGTGCAAAGGCTATGGTAGGGACCTTGAGGAGTTAATTTTGATTGGATTTGTTTTCTCTGCGTAAAAAGGGACATCATTCAAAACTTACTTGTTCCCCTGCCTTGACTCCCCTCAGCTTCTGTTGAGTATAACGGGCAAAAATCAGAATTAACAAAAATCTGGGCCTAAAGCATCATGCAGAGAGAAACTTCATGCAGGCTAACAGGCTGAATCATAGATTACTGAACTACAGGTAGCTACATTCAGTAGTTGGTAATGACAGACATCCTGAGCCAAACATTTTCCTTCATCACAGTGTCTTTTCTGTCCCTGCGTGAATCTATTAAAAGAGCTGGTGTCTGCTGAGGAAGCACTGCCAAAGCAGCAGGGAAGCACAAATAACCTGTGAATCATTTCAGAGTAATTTCTTTGGGGCCGGTTTTAATGGCTGATATCCTTGTGTGCTGTAAGGTCGTGCATGTGAGTGGAATAATGAAGGCGTAGGCGAGAGGTGCTCTGAGCTACTAACGCATTCTTTCCAGTCTCCTCCTCTTCCATTGTGCTTTTTGCAGTACTGTGTTGGAGCTGACTAGCTGGGTGATTTGTGAATCACGGATCCATTGGCCCCTTTCTGCATGGAATGTTTATGGATTTAAACTTCATGCTTTAAAGATAAAGAGCTCTCCTGCAGTCCAGCACACAAGCTGACTTGGGTTTCAACTGTATAAAGGGGAAACAGAGAAGAGCACATGTAGGAGATGGAAATGTGGGGAGAAAGCAGCAGCTAGAAGAGTTTATAAGATGAAACCAACAGTCCCTAAAGATGAGTACAGTATTTTATTCCTACTTTCAGTAAGTCCCTAGTAAGACTAGCTACTAGTCACAGGGTTCCTAGAACTCTTCACACTCTTCCAGCTGCAAAATGCAGGGTCGTTTGTCATCTTCCTGTGCATCTCATAGCACATGTTGTGTTGATTGACTGATGGATGTCCAGTCAGTGTTACCTATGAGAAGCCGTACCAGCTCAGAGCAAGTCTACTGCATCCATGTCCAGTCATCAATATCAGTCAACAGTAAATACCCAGGAAAGAAAGTATTCTTCCCCAGAATACGTTTGCCAAATGTGGTGTCGTTAGTAGCCCTGGAGGGGTTTTACTTCTCTGTGTGTCCAGTCCCTTTTTATTTTTTTTTTGGTCAGTGTAAACTGTTAATATCCACAGCATCCTCTGACAAGGAGATTCACAACAGATTATGCATCGCAGAAAGAGCTACCTCCTTTGTTGATCAAGACTGATCCTTTAACGTTTCCAAATTTTGCTCAACAGTTAAACTCTCCTTTTCCTTCCTCTTTGTAGGCAATTGACAAGTATTGCCGAGTCAGTGGTGGCTTTTCTGGTGTCAAGGATGTCTATTCCTCATCTCCTACATATGACGACGTACAGCAGAGCTTTTTCCTTGCTGAAACTTTGAAGTAAGTTCTCTTCGCTCTTGCATCTCCCTGTAAAATCTAGCATCTATCTCTAGAAGAATGTGGTGGCTCAACAAATAATCTCTTGTGTTCTTAGGGTGGTTTATGGTTTGGGCTTTCTTTTTTTCCCAGTTTTAGGGTCCCAGATCAGCCCATTTTACCAGCAGAAAATACAAGCAGAATTTCCATAGAAGAAGCTTACACTGAGAGTGCTTTATTTTTGGAGACTTTTATTTGACTTCTGGCATCACAGAAGAGGAGAGGTTATCTCCTTTTAAGAAATGCCCTTTGCAAAATACTGGTTTGGTTTTTTTTACATACACTGACTTGACATGTCTTATACAAGTGTATGCCATGCTCTGATATTGTAGAACCTGTTTCTCCTGTTTGTATCACTGGAAGGGAGTAAATGCCCTTGGATGATTTCTCTGTATTTATCCCACAACATATTTTTATAGAATGCTTTCTGTTGTAAGCAAGAATATCAGGCACATTTTATAATCTCTTACATACTTAAATATTTTCAATTCAGCCAAATCGGTAGGACACCTGTAGTCCACCCTGCAGAAGCTAATGCACTCTGTTGCATATTTGGTTCAAGGTAAAATGTTCAAAGTCATTGGTCTTCCATCGTGTTTCTTTTTAATTAATAACAAAAACATATAGTAGAATATGCCATAACCTTTAACTTACAGAGATGATACATACAATAGCTAGTATAAATATAGGTATATGTTATGGGGATTGTATTAAGAAAGAAACGTTTTTAAAACTGAGCTAGTGTCTCATGGCTACTCATCTCCTTCATCACTGACACAAAACAGCTATCAAGAGCACTCTTTTGTCACATGGTTGTGATCACTCTGGGGTTTTGATTATGAAGCAATGTCTTCTAATGTGTGACAATTTTCTTGATACTCAAGTTGCATCAGCAAATTTGGTATTATAGTTCTGGCATTGAAATCTACCAAGATGCCTGTATGGGTTACCTCCCTGAAATCTTGTGAATTGCCCACTTTTGGAAGAAAAGTGTCCGAGCTGGCTGTATTCACTCTACTCACCCCCCCCCCCCCCC